CTTTACACTAACAATGAAATCTCAGAAAAAGAAATGAAAAGAAAAAAAGAACACTTCCTTTTGCAATTACATCAAAAAGAATAAAACACCTAGAAATAAATTTAACAAAGGATGTGAAGGACCTATATACTGACTACTACAAGACATCATTAAAAGAAATTGAAAGAGACACAAAGAAATGGAAAGATACTCCATGTTCATGAATTAGAAGAATCAACATTGTTAAAATGGTCATATTACCCAAAGCAACATACAGATCTAATGCAATTGCCATCAAAAATTACAATGGCATTTTTTTTTTTTTTTAAAGAAAAGAAAAAAGTCATCAGATATGTATGGAAACATAACCTAAATCTCCATTTCTCCCTCTGGAAATAATGCAATACAGTTCATTGACCTCTGAACTAGAATAAATAATGAAATACAGTTCAAAGCAATTCTGAGAATAAGTACTTAAAATGAATCTTGAAATATGTGCTAAAGAAGCCAGTCACAAAAGGACAAATATGGTATGGTTCCATGTATATGAAATATCTAGAATAGGTAAATGTATACAGAAAGTAAATTAGTGGTTGACTAGGACTCAAGGGGATTAGGGTTCGAAAGTGACAGCTAATGGGTACAGGGTTTCTTTTAAGGAGGATGAAAATGTTCTAAAATTAGATTGTAAGGATGACTGTACAACCTTGTTAACTATGATAAAAAATCTTAAATTGTACACCTGAAATGGGTTAAAGTGTATGGTATATGAAATATAGCGCAATAAAGATATTTTAAAAATCTAACCCATTAATTGATTAGTGGATCCCTTTTCTTTCCTTCCTAGAGAAATATACTCTCCATAAAAAAATTAAAAAGAAGAGCTCAGAGTGCTTTCTTGGGTTGGAAGCTATAAAATATCTTGGCTTTAGAAATATGCTTACATCTCTTTGCATCCATCATCTCCACTTTATTTCAAATATCAATCATTTTTTATGAACTCAAATGAATACAAAATATTTATGCCAGAATAGATAAATGCAAAATGTATCTACACTCAAACTAAATCCTACAGATAACATTCTCTATCGCTCCCCAACAATAACTGTTCTCTGTTTTAGTACAAACTGACCACCTTTGTTAACCATCTTCTTTTGAGTACTGGCTACAGTGGCTTTCAAACAACTAAATCTCCATTTTCACAGGATCTCTTTGTTCTCCTAAGAAATACAGGGAGTATGGTATCACAATGACAGCCAAAACAGTCTTTCTATTAAAACTGGCTAAACCCGGGGAGGGAGATCTGGGGGAGATAAGAGATCACCAAAGGACTTGTATACATGCATATAAGTACAACCAATGAACACAAAACTCTGGGAAGGGTGGGTATGTATGGGGAAGGGGGGGCAATAGTAAAATATGTACACAGATAACAATTTAATAAAGAAAGAAAGAAAGAAAGAAAGAAAGAAAGAAAGAAAGAAAGAAAGAAAGAAAGAAAAAATAAAATAAAATAAAATAAAAACTGGCTAAACCCATCTGCTAAGGACCTAATGACATCAGCATTATTCACTTGAGTGGGACTGTTACAGGAGCAACCTAGAGAAGAGATGATCTTGCTCTTGGTTAGGAGATAAAGGAGGTAAATTAATATACGAGTCAACTAGTGGATGATGGTCTTAAAAACCTAATTAGACTAAGGAATCTGTTGTCTGGAATATTTTTACTGATTGCAAAGGGAACCTGTATTTCCAGAGTTTTCCAACCTTTTTTTTTTTTTTTAATATATTTTTATTGATTTCCAAGAGAAGATGGGAGAGGAAGAGAGAGATAAAACCATCAATGATGAGAGAGAATCATTGACAGGCTGCCTCCTGCACAACCCACATTGGGGATTGAGCCGACAACCCAGGCATATGCCCTGTCTGGGAATAAAACCATGACCTCCTAGTTCATAGGTCAATGCTCAATCACCCTAGCTGAGTCAAGCTTTTGTGTCTAAGTTTAGAAGAGCTTATATCTGATCAACGTGCCAGCTACTGTGGGAAAATACAAAAAAAAATGCCTCTCAGAATCTAAAATTCGAGAAATTAAACATAGTCAGATAAAGAGACTTAAGAATAACAAGGATAAAAATATACTATCAACTCAATGTACCTCCCATATAATAAAAGCCTAATATGCTAAGTGTTCGGTCATCTATTCAACCAACCAAAGTGTAATTTGCTGATGATATGCTAAGGTTGCTCAACCGCTCACTATGATGTGCATTGACCAACAGAGGGCAGACAGTGGACACGCTGGCCAGTGACTATAATGTGCACTGACCACCAGGGGGCAGACACTCCGACTGATGGGTTAACTTGCTGCTGGGGTTTGGCCAATCGGGATTAAGAGAGACAGGCCAGACACACCCTGGAGCCCTCCCACAGTCCCTTCCTGGCTGGCCAACCTCCCTCCTCCCTCCCTAGCCCCAATTATGCACCAATGGGGCACCCTGGGCCTAGCCTGCACCCTCTCACAATCCAAGACCCCTAGGGGGATGTCAGCAAGCCAGTTTCAGCCCAATCCCACAGACCAGGCCAAAGAACCCCACTGGTGCTCAAATTCATGCACCGGGCCTCTAGTTGCTATATAATATTTAAAATATTGAGTTGATTATGGAGAAGAAGATGTTAAATGAACATTAGTTCTAGAAAGTAGGCGATGCCTCCCTAATACTGCCTGCTGCTTGCTTTTATTCAAGGAAGGGGGCACAGGTCTAAGTAACCAATTCTGTAAGGGAGAAAATGTATTTGTACTCAATAGTATTTATGTACAAATATTAATTCTAAACTCCTAATCTTGGTTGAACAAATTACCTATTTTTTAAGCACAATTTAACTCTATTTCTTCAAGTGTCATCTCTGCTGGTTTGTTCTTCAAATTATTTAAGTTCACCCCTCCAACTGATACAAAGAATTGGTTTCTACTCTTAATAATGTTGTTTTTTAAGATTCCCTGAATTTGGAGTGATAAAGGGAGTATTTTAAGATCCAGACCACAACTTATAAGTAATGTTACAAATAATTTGGCCATTTCTTCTGCTTAAGTACTTTAAAAAGAGAGATTCTTCCAACATTTCAGGTAAACTCAACAATATTTCACTTTATAACACTATATTCCAGTTCAAATTTAATTTCTAAATCTGTTAGATATTTCCCTTAATTTATCAAAAATCCTTCCTCTGGTTTCAAATCTTTTCAGTACAAATATTACTCATAAATGACAATGTCACATCACCTGACTTTTACTGTGGCCTAATATAGATTATTACTTAGGCCATTTGAGTTCTCAGCCACTATGGTCAATTATACAGGGGTTTTTTTAAAGCTATTAACATTAATCTTTGCTTACAAATTGCAGAACTTCATGTTAATACAGTATGATTTCTTAAGACGCTGGAATCTTGCATAACTATTTCAAAAGTCTACAATCAAGTTCTCTGAACCTCACAATCAAGAACTAGGGCAAGCTAATTGTGAAATTATAATCTTGATTATAAACGAGTTGAGCACTTAACTTGTACTTTCAAGGATTATTTTTTTAAAGTGATTTTTAAAAATTAGTCCTATGTTAATAGCTACTTCACATAGTGGACAGAGCTCTCACATACATATTCTTATTTGAGATGTTTTCTTTATGTTGCCACCCCAAAAGGTTATTTAAATGTTTTTGGATGAATAACGACTATGGAGTAACATTATTTGTGTACCTTACTTGAACCTAGTCTGATAGCAACTTCTAAACATCCCAAAATTCAATAGAATGCTTGGTGAAGTGAACATTCAATTATAAAACAGCAGAATATATATAACCACATCAGAGAACAACCACATCAGAGAACGAGCACAACAAATCACTTGGTTTAAAAAGAAACGAAAACTAAAGATAAACCAAAAAAAAAAAATTAGAATGAGAGAAAAAAAAAAGCAAGCTCAAGACTTTCCTGCAGGCAATATTCTCAACTTCTCCAATCTGAACTCCCTCTTCCATTTTCAAACTCCTCCGACTGGATGGAACAAGATCCATTTATTTAGCTCACTCTTTGTAAGAATAGTTTTTTTCTGCACAATAAATATCTGATTTCTACATGAAGAGTCACCGTTTTTGCAGAAGCAACGGTTCTTACCACTTTTTAGATTCCAGAACATTAGCGGGAAGGGGGGGGGGGGGGGAGGGTAAATTACATGGGGGGGGAGGGTAAATTACATGAAATTAGCCGAATCCACGTGATTCCAAGGAGCAGAAAGACTTTGTAAATTCTATGTCCTCTTCCTCCAGCCCTCAACCCTACCTTTACTCCCCCCCCCCCCCAAAAAAAAGGTCAACAGAATGTTTTTGCATTCTTAGCAGAGGGCCAGTGTTCGAATCAAACGAAAATTTTTATCTTTAAAGCACTACTAAAAGGCGAACCAAGGAAGTGGGTAGAGAGTAACTGACAAGGCAGCAAGGAGTCTGACTGACTCCATGCCAGGGACCCGGAATGGCTATCAAGCGTCCTTAAACTTTTTAAAGTGGGGGCCAGATCACGGTCCCTCAGAGAGCTGGAGGGCCGGACTATATGAACTACTAATTCCTACTGTAACACCTCGGCTGCGCTCACTGCCCAAAAAACCTGGCAGGCCGGATCAGACTCCTCTGCGGGCCGCATGTGGCCCGCGGGCCGTAGTTTGAAGACCCCTGGAAGGACACAAGCCCAGGAGAGTTCAGTCCAGATTTCTTCCGCACCTGCCAAGTGGCACTTTGGGATCGCTGCGTTAGGCCACGAGTGTACGGAGCTAGCACTGGGAAACTCTGCAAGTCTGGGCAAGCCAGACACGGATAAGGCGGCTACCCGGGACGCCAGAGTTTCGGGAAGGAGGAGAGGAGAGCTGGAGAAGGGAGGCCACGCGCTGGGCCCGGAACTGGTCAGCGCCAGGCAGGCCGGGGCCCAGGACGCTGTAAGAATGAGGAAGCGGGCGGCGCTGGTTCCGACTCACCTGCCCATTCACCGAGCCCCGGTCCAACCCTAGGCTCGTGACCCAGACCCCAGATCTGAAAGGCCGTGAAGAGCGAGTACGAGATGCGTAGGGCTAGGTAGGCCACGGTGCCCGCGCCCACCCAGTACAGGAAGCCGGCCGCAGGGAGAGCGCTCTCCATGGCTTCCAACCAGGCCTTACTACCCTCGTGAATGGAGGGGGGGAAAAAAACACAAGAAAACTAATGAATGAATCCTGGAAGAGGCGCCAGTTGTGACGCAGCGGACGACCCTAATAGGCGCCGCTCCGACACCGTATTGGCCTAAGCCCCGCCCACAACGCCATATCCGTGCCACCATTGGTCATCGGTTGTTTCCTTTGCGCGTATGCGTCAGCCATTGGCTAACTTCAGTTTCACTTCCCCGCCCACATCCCCTCCCTTGCGCGCACCGGGGCGGGTTTCCGTTCTAGAGAAGCTGATCACCAGCCAATCCAGATTCAGCCCCGCCCTCACGTCACCACGCCCCCGGGAACTCGACGGAGGGAGCCGGTCTCACCGCGATTGCGGAAGACTGCACTCCGATTGGCCAATCAGACCCGGCCGGGGTTTGAAGATGGAATGGGAGCCGAGAAGCCACTCTAGTGAATAGGCGGATTGTAGTAAGAAGTAGGAGTGCCACCAGGGGATTATTTTCGCCCCTTTAGAAACTATTTTAACATTGTTCATTGTGCTGACATGGTTCCCATAAACTTTTCCAAATAAAGTCTTCCATCTGCTGTTCCTGTGCCTTCCCCAGAGCACCTCTTGGCTCTGGTGACACTCATTGAGGGCCTTTTGAATGCCAGGCCTTCCTCCTCGACTGAGCATTAAACTACAAACATAGTTCCCAGAGTCTAGGAGTTCAAAGCAAATGGCTTCATGGAGACAAATAACTAATACACTACGACATAGAGCTGTAAGATGAATGAAAAATATAGGAATACAGCCTAACGAACCATTAGTTCAGGGAAGGAATTCCCTGTTCTAACGGGGCATTAAAGGATGATGTTTTTCTTTTACTTTCTTTTTTTTTTTAATTTCCTTTTTGTTGTTGGAGGAGGAGGGAAGTGAGTTGTGAGGGGACACAAAAGTGTGTAATATGAGAACTACCTCAGCAAAATTCCAGAGGAGTGAGTCCATAAAGTAAGTTTAAGTAATTGTGTAATGCAATAAAATGTTTCACACTTAGCCTGTTATCCTTCTATCAAGTGTTTTTGTTTCCTTTTCTGGTATGGATTTGGGCTCATGTAAGGCACCTAAATTTTTTTTTTCTTTATCTCTTTCTGCCTAACTCCCACTCTCTTTTGAAGAATAGAATGAAGAAATAAAATGGTGTCACTATAGTCAAGATGACAAATTACTAAAATCAAGTAGGTTGAGGCATGTGGAAACAATTCTATTCCCATTTTAACTACACAGAAAACTTAAACTTTCGAACTTTCCAGTCTTGTATCAATGTGTGGATATACATCCTCCAGAAAACCCTCTACCCCTTGGAGGACTAAGGAAAGAATGTTCCTATATCCAGACTGACTGACATCCATTTTCCACTCATCCACAGGATTGTCACATTGGGCCAATCCACAGGCTAAAAATACATAAGTGATTCTTTTTAAGAATGTACTTTTTACTGTAAGAACTCTTAGCTTTCCTTTTTTCTTTGGAGCACTCTGGTTTTGCCCAATCGTGTTTTCAGTTTGCAAACTCTAAGATCCTTGAGTAAATCTTTGTCATTTATTTCTAGCCAAAGCCTCTGGACTCAAAAGGAGTTCATTCAACATTTATCAAATTCATTAAGTATAACCCTAAAGCTGTACTGTTCTTCATAAACTGCCAATTGCCCAGCAGAATTCAGCCATATGAGTTGAGCTGGCACCATATTTTTTATTAATTGAATTTGATACCTTTGTCTGGGACTGCCTCTCCAATTCAACTGAAATCCCACCATTTCTCTCAGCCTCTCCCTTGTTCCCCCCTCTGCCTATAGTATAGTCCCAAATTTATATATCCCAAGTTATTATTGCTCACCACCAAAGGCACTCCAGATAGTCACTCCCCTTCCCCTTAGAATAGGGTGGGAGGAGAGAAGGAGAGATCTTACAAATTAAAAATACCTATTTTTGTTGTATTTGTATGCATGTCGATGGCCACATTAGAATTTATGATTATTGGGAATCCATAGGACCTAGAACAGTTCCTGGAACCTAGGGACCTTCAATAAATGTCTGACAAATAAATAGAAATGCAGATCCATTAATTCAACAAACATTATTGTGTTCTAATTATGTACCAGTAACTGGGCTAGGTACTGGGTATACAATAGTGAGGAAATGGTCAATTCTTAGTCCTCATCCTACTCTACCACACCACAGTGGGGGGGGGGGGGGGGCTGTTTTCCTCAATAGCTGCTTCTTCCCAAAGTCCTTTGCTGGCCCCTCCACATGCTGGCCTCTAAATGATGCAATACCCCTGGGCTCAAACCCCAACTTTCTTTCTTTTCTTTTCTTTCTTTCTTTTTTTTTTTTTTAATATATTTTATTGATTTTTTACAGAGAGGTAGGGAGAGGAATAGAGAGTTAGAAATATCAATGAGAGAGAATCATCAATCAGCTGCCTCTTGCACACCCCCCACTGGGGATGTGCCTGCAACCAAGGTACATGCCCTTGACCGGAATCGAACTCGAGACCTTTCAGTCCACAGGCCGACGATATCCACTGAGCCAAACCGGTTTGGGCCCCAGCTTTCTTTATTTCTATACATGGACTTCTTACATGTTAATATCAACTATAAGCCGATGACTTCCAAATGTCTCTAACCAACCTCAATTTCTGTTTGTGTGTGTGTGTGTGTGTGTGTGTGTGTGTGTCCACCTGTCTATCAATATCTAAACTGAGGTGTAAAATAGAAATAAATATCTCAAACTTAACATGTCCAAAACAAAACTCTACCCCACCACACATACACCTTTTTTCTTCCTGTCTTTGTTAAAACCTAAAGATCAACCTTGATTCTCTTTCCATTACATTCCCATGTCCAATTCTTAAGCAAATCTTCTTCACTCTACCTCTAAAATACTTTTTTTTTTTTAAATGCAGGTTCTGGTTCTGCAGGTCTAGGGTAGAGCCTGATATTCCACATTTCTTTTTTAAATATATTTTTATTGATTTCAAAGAAAAAGGGAGAGGGATATAAACATTAATGATGAGAATCATTGATCTGCTGCCTACTGCACACCCCTTACTAAAAATCAAGCTCACAACCCAAGCATGTGCCCTTGACTGGGATCCTTCATTCTGCAGGCTGACACTCTATTCTCTGAACCAAACCGACTAGGGCTAAAATATATCTTAACTAACCACTCTTCCGAACTCCTGCTACTATACAACCCAAATCATAAACACTTCTTGCTTGGAGTATGGCAATGGCCTCCTAATTGGTCTCCCTGAAGTCTGGCTTGAGGTATGTTCTCCATGAAGCAATTAGAGTATTTATATTTTTTAAGTAAATTAGGTATTTTTTCTTTTGCTCAAATACCTCAAGAGCCTTCTATCACATTAAGAACAAAGTCCGCTAAGACTAGTTTCTCTGTCCTGACTTCTCCAGCAGCGACCACCCTCGACAATGCTTGATTCCAGCCACACTTCCTGCAGTTTCTCAAACAAGCCAAGTTCATTCCAGTCTCAAAGCAGTTCTACTTTGTGTCCCCTCTCCCTGGAACCCTCTGTCCTCTATTTCTCAAGGCTCACTTCGTTATATTATTTAGGCTTTTGCTCATACATCCTCTCCCTTGGAGTGTTTTTCTCTGACTGTCCTACATAAATATCCCAAATAACTTCTTCTCCTTTGCCCAGTTGCTACTTATTTTTTTTAGCCTAATTTGTTTCTCTCAAAGCACTTAATGCTTTCAAATCTTTTATTTGGTTTTGTCCATCTTCCCAAAAGAATGTAAGGTCCTGAGAACAGTGACTTCTCCTTGTTCACACTGTAACTTCACTTAAGATGTGCACCTAAGAGTACTTGACACTTTGTAGGTATGCAATAAATACCTTTTGAAGAACGATGAGTTGCTAAGTGGATAAATAAAAATAGTCTAATGAAAGATATAGACATATAATTATATATATAATAAAATTACAGTAAGTACAAAGAATAGGGCTTAAGGAAGGAGGAGAAAGGGAGAACCTAATTTAGGAGACTCCGATGAAAGGCCTTTTTAAGAAAGTAGCATTTCAACTGGTATCTAAGGGTAAGTAGAAATTAACCTGGTAAAAAGTAGGGTGGGATAAAGGAGAGAAGAGAGCAACAAATATTAAGTTTTGTTGTCATCTTGAAAAATACATATATGTGCCTCTAGCACATACCACAGCATCTGACATAACATTAAATAGGCATAAAAAGTAATTGTTGATTTTGAATTTTTAATAAGGACAACTACCCTAGCAACGGACTTTCTATGGATGTTAGAATTCATATTGCGTATGTTATTTTCATTAAAGGAGTATTAACGATTGAAACTATCTCATTTTGGTATCCATTCCTTCTATATAAAGTTTGGGCACTACCAATGCAATTAACAGGAATAATCTTTATTAAAAATGCATTATTTTATTCTGATCACATCAGCCTTCTTTTTGCAATAACTATTCAATTGACTCAAAGAAAAAACAGTGGTTCATAAAGTGAAGCGGTAAGAGCCAGAGTTAAGCTTTATGGGTTCAGATGGTTGGAATTGAACAGTCCTTTGTCAGTGGTGAAATTGTATGAATCACTAAAAACTAATGCTTGTAAGAACCTGTAATGATGCCCTACTCCTATTTAGCAGCATTCTGTGCTACAATTTAACATATAGACCAAGGTTTCTAGAAATTGACAGAGCTAACCTAACCAAACATGAAAACATTAAGCTTTCCAAAAGAAAGCAGTATCATAACATTTTTTTGGTCTCGGGTAAATCTAGGACCAAATCCTAATTCTAACTTTTATTAGCTGTATGATTTTGTGGGAATTTAGCTACTAAACATTCAGTACTACATTTGTAAGATGGGACATTATTGCTTAAGTGTTTCCCAATGATTGGCAGATAGATGCTAATGTTCCATGAGGTACGTACTACTCCTATCCCCATTTTAAAGACGAAGAAACTGAAGCTTAAACCATTAGTAGATGGAAGAATTTGGATTTCAACTAAAAAGTGTGGTTATGAAATTATATCTCAAGAACTAGTTCAAAGAAGGCAACATAAAAGCATTGTGAAGGCACAGGAAAGTTTCTAGAAATAATTGACTGTTACACAAATAACATACTCAGATACATCCACATTGAATTTCAGTCTCATTTATTTAAAGTTCAGAGTAGTCTTTAAAAAAGTGAGAATAAACAATATTGTATCATATTAGTATACAAAAGTTCCCATTTAACTTTGAATTCATTTTCAGTGCTTCTGTAAATTTACTTTCAGATCAGATTTTCATGAGGAAATCTCAGGGATTGTTCAATGTATTGAAAGAAAATCCCACAATGAGGGAATTTCACAGAATTGAGAACTTTTTAAGAATATCAGTACAATAGAGCTGCATCATTTATTTGGGTGCACAATAAAACTGGCATATTTTAACAGGTCAGTCTTCTATCTCATCCTCGTTTAAACATAGCTAAACATACTGCACTTGCTCTCTCTCTTTAAGTTCAGTGGAGAGGGTGTTCAATCCTGGGCTAAGCAATAGTACGTGAGAAACAAACCAATTTAATATTAATTTTTAACATGAGAAATTGTGTGGTTACCAAAAAGTTAATATTTAACTTCTTAACAAGCAATATTACCATAGGAATGAACATAAACATTATGTTTCAATATTACATTATCATTTTCAAACTGACCGCACATACATTACCCAATACAAATATCACAATAGCACCCACATTTTTCCAAAAAGGAAACAGACTCTTTAAGATGAACTTCTTGCTTAACACATTTCGGACCAGTAGTTTTATTGCTAGCTTTACCTGGTAGCCAGATAAGTTTCTATTGAACGAGTACAAAAAACGTTTTACAAAAATGTTAAAGGCACACTTTAACATTAAATACCCAATTGCATTTTGAAGTTATTTATTACATATTCTTGTAAACTTATATCTTTTTAAAGTATGATACTTTGTAAAACACTGTGTAATATGAAGGAAGAATTCTCATGATCTGTCCGCAATATGTTAAGAAACACTCTGAGCGCAGTAGGCCTGGTTTTAAACCAAGGTGTCTGCACTAAAAATCTTGGCTCTTCCTACTCTCCCACCTACTTAAGGTCATGTTTCATAGATCCTTCTGTAAACATATAAAACGAAAACTGGTCATTTTGAAACAAATGTTTAAAAATATAATTTTAAGCCCTGACCAGTTTGGCTCAGTGGATGGAACGTCAACCTGCAGACTAAACGGTCCCAGGTTTGATTCCAGTCAAGGGCATGTACCTTGGTTGTGGGCACATCCCCACTGTGGGGTATGCAGGAGGCAGCTGATTAACGTTTCTCTCTCATCAATGTTTCAGACTCTCTCTCCCCCTCCCTTCCTCTCTAAAAAAATCAATAAAATATATTTTAAAAATAAAAACATAATTTTATTTTCAAAAGCTCATAGAAGCATATAAAATGAAACAGTATTCCACCTCATTTCCTGTGCCTGTACATTGTGGCTGGCAATTTGGTGTGCATTCTTTCATTTCTTTTTCTCTATAGGTATAAAACTATATGATATATACAACATATATAATAACACTTGTTTTAAAAGTAAAAACTTTGATCATACAAACAATCTGACAACCTTGTCGTCACTATACCATTAAAAATACCACAGTGAAATCTTGACATATTAATATTGTATATCAACTGGATTTCTTTATTGCACCAGCCTAATATTCATCTCAACAACCTGACAAAATGCTCTTTCACTTTAAAAAAATGTATCATTGTCAGCAAACCAGTTTAAAGATGAGTGAAAGAGAAAGTAAACTGATAGTTGGGCAATATCATACTTAAAGCCAAAATAACAAAACTTGATGAATATTCATCATTACCCAAGCAAACTTAAAATAAACATCATAGGGGAATTTCAGAAATGTTCCTTCACTTGAATGCTTACTTTAGCAATGGACTCAGAATTTGCTATCCTTACTCATCATACTTTTCCTAAAATTTGTAACTTATGAAATTTCTATTACTTTGCCTAGTTCTTTTCTCCTTTCCCTTTATTATATCTGTATATATTTCAGCATGTATCTACAATTATACTTGCTTTTTAACTAAAATACCTATACCCCCATCTGAAAATTTAAAAATAGTTCCTGAATACCATCAAATATTCCCAAATTTTTAATTGCTTTATTATCTTAAAATACAGTTCATTTGCAGTTATTGACATGATTAAAGTGCTTTCGTTTGAAGCACCTCTAAAGCAAGCACCTGGAAGTTACACACCACCTACTTTTTCCTCCTTAAAAGTTTCAAGAATACATACATGAAAGATTCATCAAATTGAAAAAATTTTAATGAACTGGAAAACTGAACAAGTAGGATTACATAAAAAAAAAGTTTGCTTTGATTAAGTCAGCTGCAAAAATTGCTAGCTAACAATACAAAGGATTACTGAAACTGAGGTGTTAAAAACAGATGTGAAAACACTAAGCTAGATGCACTCCAAATAAAGAAATAATCAGAAATATGTACAAACCAAGTCTATTTAGGATGCAACATTCCACTTTCGAATACCACAGGGAAAAGAAAAAGAATATGTGCATATCCTAAAGGTATAAATCATAACTTCCTTCTTGGTGCTCAAAGCAAGTGGTCTTGATTTACAGTTGAACACAATGGAAGAAACTGCTCATGGGTCCCGAGTACCTGTATTAGATGAAATTCAGAAAGAAAAAAACATGGTTCAAATGTCAATAGCTCTTTGACACCAATCATCTGGAAATAAAAATTTGAAACTCTAATATTAATTTGGGAAAAATGGCCTATATGAAAGACATGAGTAGTTTTAGGGTTCTGTTTTCTATTCCCAATCCATACAGTCCCTTACACACTCCGTCTTTAGAGTTGTCTTATTTATAACTGCATTCTACATTTTATTACATGTGTACATTTGTGTGCTTAATGAGGATATGAATGAACACTCTGTAAGTCCCTTAATATGGGTATCTTTTTGGTCTGGTTTGTAGAGAGATCAAAAAGCCCAATTTTAATATTTCCACAAATTTCTCATAAATGAGCTACTCACTCATCATTTCATGAATGTGATATTTGAATCATTTACATGGGAATGTCAAAAAGACTTCCTACCAAAAATGAGAAAATTTCTTAGTCATACAAAATGTTTAATAAACTTGGCTTAACTTAAAGGACCCTGTTTATAAAAATACAGTTAATTGAAAATTTGTAGAAAAACAACAAAAAACAATTTGTGAATGAAATCATTTTTTAGTATAGGTTTCCAAGTATATAGAAAACATTATTTTAAATATTTGAATGCTCCCTAGATTGTTCCAATGTGTTTGACGATTTTGAAATTTTCTTTCAAGACATTTGAACCCATATATTTTAAGCTTATACATTTCATTATCACTCTCACTATTCACTGTATTTTTAAAATATATACATGTGATAGATATATGTAATCTTTTGCTTCTACTTAATGTGTAGCACTATATGTATGCCTCTACCATATTTTACCCCTCTCCCAATGATTAAGAACCCGAGGTTGGTCCTAAGCTTCTGCCACAGAACACGTGATCAATATCCTCATATTTGCTCCTTTAGAGACCTGTGTAAGACTTCTGAGGACAAACACCAAGAAACCATTTCATTATCTATATTAATTCAACTAAATTCTGCCAGATTGCTTTGCAGAATAGCTCCTACACTTTACAAGTTCAGTAATGGTGTGAGGGTGCCTACCCCTGTCCCATTTTCATCAATACTTGACATTACCTATATTCCTAATTTTTGTTAGTCTACTTGGTGTAAGAATATATTTTATTGTGGCTTTACTCTGAATCACTCTGATTACTGAACTTGAGGTGCATAGCTATTGTTAGCCTGTTCATAACATTGGTGCATTTTTCTTTTTCTTTTTCTTAAATATATTTTATTGATATTTTACAGAGAGGAGGAAGGGAGAGAGATAGAGAGCTAGAAACGTTGATGAGAGAGAAACATCGATCAGCTGCCTCTTGCATGCCCCCTACCGGGGATGTGCCCGCGACCAATGTACATGCCCTTGACCAGAATCGAACCTGGGACCTTTCAGTCCGAAGACCGACGCTCTACCACTGAGCCAAACCAGTTTCGGCACATTGGTGCATTTTTCTGCTGTAGCTCTCGTTTTTTTGTTTGCTGCAGTGGGCATTGCTTGTTGTACTATAGAAAATAATCCCTTGTCAGATTTAAACATGCAAATATGCTCTCCTATACAGCCACCTATTATGAATTATGAAGCAATTTTCCCAGTAATCTTTTCATTATTACTGCATTACAAAGTACCTCAAACCTCAGAAGCTTAGCACCAATTTATTTTGTTTATAATCTTATGGATCAAAAATTGAGAAGGGATCCAGTGGGCAGTTAATCTTATTTACACAGCCAGAGCCAGGGCAGTTGGTGCTGGAGGATCCATTTGCAAAATGGCTTCTTTCCTTACATGTCTGGTTCCTTGGTGCTCCTAGCCCTATCCACTTGACGTCTCCAGGGCCTCTTTACATGACTTTGGGTTTCTCACAATATAGTGATTTCAGGGTGACTGCATTTCTTACATAGTAGCTGGCTTTCAAGACGCAGAAAAGCCCTATCCAGTTTGGCTTAATGGATAGAGTGGTCAGCTTGTGGACTGAAAGGTCCCAGGTTGATTCTGGTCAAGGGCACATGCCTGGGTGTGCAGGAAGCAGCTAATCAATGACTCTCATCACTGATGTTTCAATCTCTCTCTCCCTCTCCCTTCCTCTCTAATGAGAAACATTGATCAGCTGCCTCCTGCACGCCCCACACTGGAGATGGAGCCCGCAACCCGGGCATATGCCCCGACAGGGATTTAAACCATGACTTCCTGGTTCACATGTCGATGCTCAACCACTGAGCCATGCCAGCTGGGCTGGTCATTCTTTTACTAGAATTTCAATGACGATATGGTTCCTGCCCCCTCAAAGAAACTTCTTTAAAAACAATATACATATATGCAAGAAAAAGCTGTCTGTCAGGTCAGGTGAGAGCAACACTGGGACATCACCATGTCTACCACATTCTCTTGGTCTAAGCCAGGGGTGGGGAACCTTTTTTCTGCCAAAGGTTATTTGGATATTTATTCGTGAGCTATACAAAATTATCAACTTAAACATTAGCCTGCTATACTTGGTTAAACGTTTAATTAACTCACCCCTAATGCCTTGGCAGGGCCAAAACAAATGATTTCATAATCCTTGTATGTTCACCACATCTGGTCTAAGCAGTCAAAGGGCCTAACAAAACTTAAGGAAGTTGTGTTGATAACACCTGTTGGTCATCACATGCAGAAGAGCATGGGAACTGGGAGATGTTGTGGCCATCGTTGGAAAATATCTACCACATTATTTGCTCCTTTCTCTATCATTACTATGTTCTCAAGTAGTCAAGTACTAAGCAAACCCAGACAAGACGGGAATTTTAAAAACACAGTTCATCACAAAACATCAAAAGGCTGTTTAATGATATATTAAAGAGGTCCAACGCAATGATACAATAAGTTTTCTATGCTCTAAGATGCCAACAAAAACAATGCATATCTCTCTCTCTCTCTCTCTCTCTCTCTCTCTCTCTCTCTCTCTCTCTCTCTCTCTCTCTCTCTCTCTCTTTCTAGCTTTAAATCAACTCTATCATGTCATGTAGCCTAGCTCCAAATTAAAAAGACAGCTGATTTCCAAAATCTTGTACTTTGTGTACCTCCTTTCAAATCCCCTACTTCACTAAACGAGTGAAAAAACTTTCTTGACACTAGTTTTACCTGTTTGGGGGGGGGGGGGGGAATTTTTAAGTAACATTTTTAAATGGCTTTTCATGACCAGTTAAGCCTCAAGTTACACATGAAACAACCAGACTGTCTCAATCAGGCAAAATCTGTACCGCAGTGCCTGGTGGCAGAAATAGTGAGGTCCAAGTTTGCACAGGCAGGTAAGTGCTGACCTGCTCGGCAATCTAATGTTACCCTGAGACCCTGGCTCGTGCAGTTACATGACAGTGGTGTCCCACTTTGTCTCAGGTTGACAGAGTACCCCATGGCAAAGGCGATCAGAGTGTCCCGACATGCAGAGCACCCCATAAACTAAGATTAAGGTGGCAGAGCTCAAAGCAAACCAGCTCCCCATCAAAGTACCCAGACGACTTCACAGCACTTCGAGAAGCCCAAGGCCCTGGCTCCCTGGAACGAAAGGTACCTGCGAGGCTAGCATTTGCTTTCCATTCATTTTTGCACACAACAGCTTTCTACAGACAACTGCAAAGACAGTTTTCTGGAGACTCCAAAGCTTTCAGAACACATCCAAGCCAACAGGAAGACATTTCACAACGGCCTGCCACCGCCGGGCAACAAGCTCAAGGTCCAAGGTCCACCACGTGCAGCGGACGCGAACCTCACACCCACAGACACGCCCACAACCCAGTGCAACTTCCTAACCCCAACACAGGACGGACAACACCCAGAATATGACCGTCCACACTTCCCAACACCCCCACCTCTTGCAACAACCCCACCGGGCCCTAGAAAAACGAGCCCACCTAACGGTAACCCCAAATAGTGTCGTGAACCATCACTGACTGCACAGACAGAGCCGGCCTCTGCTAAGAAAGGGGGGAGGGGTGCAGGACACAAACTACAACTTAAGAAAGCACACCCCAGGACCCCGAGACGCGGGCCGCCCAGAAGGCCTTTAGACAGCCAGGGTCCTTAAGGACGGAGCCTCCCCGTGGACCCCGAAGCTTCCAGAGGCCTCCCCTGGCACATCCAGCGATAAGCAGGCCCCTCCACCCACCCTCCTGGCCTGCTCGTGTCCCGGTACCACAAATAAAAGGCCCTCGGCAACCTGGGGGGTTGTTGGCGGCCTTCTGACGGCACGGAGAGCCCCCCAAAACGTCCGGGACAACAGAAACCCTCAACTCCTGCCTCGGCGGCGGCCATCACAACGGGAAAGCGGGCTTTTGCGACAATTCCCACAATGCCCGGCGCCTACAACTCCCAGAGTGCACCGGGCCCGCCGCGGTTAACCCCGTCGCGGCCGGGAGAAAGCTGGGCCACCTGCTCCCTTCTCCCTCCCAGCACCCAATGGCTGCCCTTAACTTTTCCAGCCGCACCATCCGAAACGAACTTTGCAAATGTTGTCCGTCAGTTACCGATGGGCTACCTCGCCGCCTTCCTTCACCGCACAAACAGCCACAGCTACCCAAAGAAATGACCCCTGGCAGGGTACTATTTGAGAGCCACCTTCCCAGTGCCCAAAGTGTACCATTTAATACACAATTAACTTCAATCCGTGTTCCCTCTCGCCTTTATACTTTTCTGGCATGTTTCTAAATTATGACAGCCCAGAGGTTTTGGGGACTCGCCATTATTAGTTTAAAATCTGTTTCCTAACTTCTGGGAATCCAACAGAGAGAAAGACTATCCTATATCTGACTACTATGTTCTACATCTCTCTATTTCCTAAGACAAATTTCCTCAAATACATTGATTCAGAAAATTCAAGCGACCCCAAATAAGTCCTAAGAACAACAATTGGTTATGGGCAACATATCTTTTTTCAATTTGAAGTTTGTTTGGTTTTTTTTAAAGGGAAATACTATTGTGCCAGCACATTTTGCTTTCCCTTTCTCCCTCTCTCTAGGGATAGAAAAATGATCAGAAATAGCATATAATGCTGCTTTATTCCTTTCTGATGTTAAAATGTCAGTAAACAAGAAGTAAATAAACATTTTAATATAATTTGGAAATAAAACTGAGTTCATTCTTTCAAAAAAACCTGCACAGTTACATATATTACTCACAAAAGAACTCCTTCAAAGTCTTTCATTTTAATGAAAAATAAGTGTTAAAAAATGCATTTCTTTTACACATATTACCCATAATTTCAGTAACGATGACAATCACATTTAGAGATCATTGTGTCATCAATGTAAGTTATATATCTAAGATGTACTTACACAAACTGTAGCTTGCTTAGACCTGTAACTGACTGACAGACAAAATAATTGTTTGGTATTTGATGCATGCATTAAAAGAACAACTAGAATTCACCCAAAGTATCTGCCATTTTTCTCATACACAAATATAAAACAAAATGTACACAAGGTCCAATTTTTTTCCACAGAAACATTTTGCCATTTGAAAGGGCACTCAAAATATATCATGAATTTCAAATCACAAAACTCAGAAACCCTAATACACACACAAAACCCAAAGCCTTGTTAGAAAAATACATCCATAGCAACATTTTATTTTAAACGTGTCTCTTAATATTACATTTGACTTATTAGTAATTTTTTAATCTAGTAACCTACAGTGAGAAAATACTTCTCCATTATTTATTTTTTCACTCATGTTACAATTAATGTAATTTCATTACCAATTAAAATAAATGCTATATACCAAGACATAAAAAATTGTGTATAAATATAGATTTTGAATTTTAGTTAAACATACTGTTTTAGCTTCTATATTTTTCTAATTTTCACTTACCACTTTAGTTAGAATTGAGCTAGGCAAAGTTGCATTTTCTCCTCTCTATTTTTAACAGACCATAGAATTAAATGCATATTTTGTATATTATTCTCCTGATGCCAAAATATATGATTCATAAGAAAGGCTTAAAAACAAGTCAAAAGTGAAACTGATCTCCTTGTATATTTATTACATGCTTACAGCTTTCTTCTAAGTATTATCAAATTATATTTTCTTTTAGGATATTAGTCATGTTTTCTTTTACTTTATTCTTGAAAATATAAGATTTAAAAATTAATACAGCATATTAAAGGGCTTTATTTAAAGATTACATTAGACATAATTTATATACTTTTTTCAGGTTATCATAATTCTTTTTTATAAAGTAACTTAGAAGTTTAGTATATCCTAATTAAGTTTTAACCTACATGCTCAATATTAACATGATTGTCTTAAGAAGAAAACAAATATATTCTAGAAATAAATTCTTCAAATTCATACAAAAAATTTTAGTATTTTTCTGTCAAAATTTTTAGATTCTGTTTAACCTCATGAATTTTTACCTGCATTTCTTAAAAACCTAAACCTCTGTACTGTGGTTTTCAAAAGTACTCATATGTACCTTTATTAATGTATTTAAAGTTAGGAGGAATCTTGTTTACTCTTGAGAATATGTATTAATAAAAGATAAAAAATTGTAATCTATTTTTTTCCAAATGTGGTATTTGTAACAAAGTTAGAATGTACAAATTTGTATATCTTATAACAGATTCTATGAATAATTTTTATAACTACATCTTTCATCTTTTTAAATTCATAAAAATGCATTCCTAAATGTTTGTTTAGACATTTTAATTACATTTTTTAGTTTATTTGCTTTAAAACATTTACTTTTCATATATGTAACTTATACTGTTCATTCAAGTAAAATGCATTAATAGAATTACTTCAAATATTAAATTAGTTGCTAATATTCTAATATGCTCAAAAAGGTAGTTGTTGTTTTTTTCTTATGTTACCAGTATGACACAAACCAAAACTGAAAAACAAAGGATAAGTTCCTGCCTGATTAAAAAAAATGTTTATTATGATCTTACAAAGCAATATTTTCCTAACATGGGAATATACCCCTGTGTTTATGCTTCTATGTTATTACCCAAATCTTAATTAACTTTCATTCACTGACCTATTTATAAAGCAGTGACAGTCTTTCACATTTTCACAATAGTCCATTTTTTTTAAATATCACACATATTTACATTTATGTTTGTTTAGGAATATTCCAAGTGTTTGAACAAACTCTAATCCCTTATTTTGCTAAATGTGATTTTAATTTTGTTATTGCTTAAATACTTAGACAAGACAGATGGTGAGAATCCTATTATCATTTCAGTCTATTAGAAAGTGCAAAAAAGGGTCTCCTCCCCACTTTGCAAAAAAAATGATCTTTCTAAGTGAAATATTCCAACTAATTTGTTTTATTTAACTTAGACATCTGGCCTTCTATCATCTTCATAATGTTTTACATCAATTAAGTGAGCAAAGCTTAAGTATATGTTACTTCTTTCCTCTAATTGAGACATTCTCTTTCCAACAGATATTCAATAGATAAATAATAAAAAATGTTTCCTTACCTAAAGATGAGACGTTTCACCTTTAAAAGAATCTCCCCAGTTCTTCAGGAGATAAAATTTTTTAATTTTTCTTCTAGTCTGTGGAAAAGAATAGCACAAGATAATGAATATTTGACATTTTTTATCCTAATTTTAGAAAAGCTTAAATATAATTAAATTAAATCAAAGCTGTCAATTAAAATATCATCCTGTTTTAAACTTTATCACAGAATCATTATAAGAAGGTGGTTTCTTGCACTGACATATCTTGTGGGTCCTATTTATGACTGAATAGTTTTAGTACTCTTTCAATTTTTTTAAGTCATTAACTATACTTATATGTTTTAAGATTCTTTTTAATACATAAAAATGCCTGGCTTTTACATAGATTCTGTAGTCTAAATTTCTAAGAAATAGTGAAAGAAAAAAAAAATCTAAACACTAAACTTTCTAACATTTAAAAGGCCTTTACATCAATTTCTCCAAAAAGAAATCATTAAAACACTACATACTCTAAGTTAGAAACACTAAATACTTTAAGACAGAGTAAGTTTAGGCTGAATTTATTAAAACAATTATCCTCCTTGACCCTCTCCCTTTTCCTGCTCATAATTTTCTCTCCGTTTTAGCACAGATTTACATTCATTAACTGGCATGCCTTCTCTCCAAAGAAAAAATTACCTTCTGCTTACGAAATGTTCAGATTCCTTACATTTCCCCTAATTTTACATACGGATCTATTATTTCAAATTCTAGAAGGGGAAAGTGAGAATTAATGATTCTTCTTCCTAGATCTGTTTTCCAATTGTTCCCTCTATAGGACTGTGCCATACCCCACTCTTTTTTCTTTTTCTTTTTTTCCTTTTTCTTTCTTTCTTTCTTTCTTTCTTTCTTTCTTTCTTTCTTTCTTTCTTTCTTCCTTCCTTCCTTCCTTCCTTCCTTCCTTCCTTCCTTCCTTTCTTTCTTTCTTTCTTTCTTTCTTTCTTTCTTTCTTTCTTTCTTTCTTTCTTTCTTTCTTTCAACAAGATGTGCCTAACATACCTCTCCCCAACATTTGAGGGCATATTCTGACTTTATATCTTTATTTTGCTGCCTACATCACAGTGTGGCTAGTGCTACCTCCCCATACTCCAAACATAAATATTTGCAGTCCCCTCCATTCATCAGACCCTGGCTATTTCCTGTTCTTCACCAGAATGTCCCATTTGGGATTCGAATACAGAGGAGACCTTAGGTAAGTTAGAACCACAAAGAGGAATGTCGACCACAGATATCACCATTCATGTCTTTGAAAGTATCTTGCTCATAACTAATGTTGATACTTCTGAGCAATAGAGAACCTGTAAAATTCATACGCATGAGCACGAGAAATTTCCTCTCCCTTACACCACTATTGCCTACGCTCCACTTCCAAAGCCATATTTTCCAAAGATGTGACCTTTTGATACAAATGATCTTTGTAAGTGCCAAGCGGAAGATTTTATGAGGGTAGGAGAGTTGGCCACTCACAGGCCCAATCATATTCTAGGGCAGATGCAACATGACCCACCAGTCTCCACCCAGACTCACAGCCTGAGCTCTGCCTTCCCTTCACCTGGCCATGGCTCCGAAGGATCGAAGGGAAGCTTATCACTGCATGGCGCCTCATTTTTTTCACCTCCAACCTGATTCCATCACCCAACAACAAGCAGATGCTGAAGTGAGAGCAGGCAGGAGTCAGGACCAAAGAGGGGAAAAAAAAAAAAAAAGACACCTTCCCCCCCAAGAAAAAATATTTGAATTAACATGACATCTATTTCTAGACTCTACCCATTTTCCTGCAGCCTTTCTGCCAGCCATGGAAGAGGCCTGTCCTATTGGGCAAGGGTACAGAGAGCCTTCAATGTCCTCTGAATTGACAGCAGCACAGACAATAATATGGGCAGAAATAACAGCAATGTTTTTCTTTTTTAATAATAATTTAAAAAGATGACAGCCGAAGCCGGTTTGGCTCAGTGGTAGAGCGTCAGTCTGTGGACTGAAGGGTCCCGGGTTCAATTCCGGTCAAGGGCATGTACATTGGTTGCGGGCACATCCCCGGTAGAAGGGTGTGCAAGAGGCAGCTGGTCGATGTTTCTCTCTCATCGACGTTTCTGGCTCTCTATCTCTCTCCCTTCCTCTCTGTAAAAAATCAATAAAATATGTTTAAAAAGAAAAAAAAATGACAACAAAAGCTTCTTTCTAAAATTCTTGGCATGCAGGTAAATGTGTGTGTGTGTGTGTGTGTGTGTGTGTGTGTGTGTGTGTTATTGAGAATAATACGCAAGTGAGTTCAGAGACATAAAAATCCTATCTTTGCTTTGGCCTCCGTGCTGTAGGCTTCTTTTTCTCTGTGTAAACAGACAATCTCGTCCTCATTCAGTAACCCAATGCTATTGTAACTGGGGAGCGAGCACAGTGGGGAGCCCCAAGCCCCTCAGAGAAACTCCCTCCAGTCCAGCCCTGACTTGGAGAATGGTAAAGGAAACCCCACAGAGCATTTTCAGTGTTCCCAGAAAGAATTCCTGCTCTCTCCCCTGCTCAAAACTCCACACCAAATTAATCAGACTCATTAGTTCCTATTGAGACACTCGGTTACGTAAAAGAAAGCACTAAGCATAAACTTGGTGGGAAGTGATTTTTTTTTAAGCCAAGATATAGTCATCCTAAACAGTAACAGATTAACAGAGGACATTAACTGCTTACTAGTTTCAACACCAGCTGCAAATGGGTTGATTCTTCATTTGTTGGGACCATCGAGGGTGCCAAACTGTTTCCCCAAACTTCCTTTCTATTTTAGAAAACCAAGTTCCTAGAAATAATAACAGTAAAAAATTAAAAAGAGAGTTCTGTATCATGGGCTTTTTAAACATGAACTGCAAATGCAATCTAACACTGATGAGCTCTCTCCCTCTTTTAATTTGGGAAAATTCACTGTCTTCTCTACTCTGCTTTCTTGCTCTAAAAGTGAAGGAACTTCCTCCTTCTTTCCCTTCATCCTTACTTGAAATCCCTTTTTTAGCACACCACGCATTTCCCCAGCTTCACTGTATTGTGGTCCTGGCCAAATTTCACCAAATGCTATCCTCACAGAAAGAGTAAAATGTAAAACGAGGGGGTGTCACAGGACAATCTCCAAGGTCCCATTTAGCTCTCACATTCTATATGTGTCTAGGATGATCCAGAAAAACTGGAATAACTCCATAGAAGAAGCCAAATTTGGGTCTCATTTTCATGTTTTACTGCTGTCACCACATGTCTACAAACTTGTTGCTGAATGACAATATAACACACATTTTCCTGCCTTTTTAGGACAGCAACCCCCCTCTTTGCTTCTTCAACCTAATTCTTTTCCTCTCTAAGAAACCATTCTCTGTCACTAATAAATCCATTCTTTCCATCAAGACCATCACCACCACTACCACCACCACCGGCAGCCTTTTTCTGACCTAATCTCTTAATAATGTCACATGTTCTCCTAAATGAAACAATAGTACCTACCTACCCAGCCTCTGCTATCATCCTCATTATCATTCTCATCTATAACTTTTACTGAGAACTTCCTAGTTGACAGAAACTGTTCTAAGCAATGCACATTTAATCCTAATAACCTTATAATGCAGATCTATTATCAGCTCCATTTTACAGATGAGGAAATTGAGGAAAACAAAGGTGAATTCAGTTGCCCAACAGGTATTCTTATTGAGGGAGGGATCCCAGTCTGAAAGCCACACGTTTTGGGTATAGAGTTTGCACCCATAATCATTTTAATGCACTGCCTCTCAGTGTAAATTATTTCCCATTTTTAAGGAGCTCATTAATCTGACCCTCCCACTTCTAAAATTCATTGATCTCCCAGCACTTAATTATCTCAGAATGTCTAGTCTCCTACTTGATAAATTAGACATAATCAGAATAATTTACTTTATGGAGTTGTGAGTATTTTAAAAATTTAATGTAAAGCATTCACAACAGTACCAGGCACCGAGTAAATACAATAGTTTAAAGAAATGTTAGCAATTATTTAATAAGAGCTCTCAATTTGCAGATGAAGGCCCTGAGGTCAGTAGTTAGTAGAAAAACTAGAACTGGAAAAAACTAGAAATAATGCGCCCTGCTCTTTAAAAAATACCACTTACTAATGTTGTGCTAACTTCAAAGACACACTTAAAGTTTAAGACTTTAAAATAACCGTCATCTTGTGTTTCTTAGTCCAGGGTTGTTGGTTTTTTTTCTGTTGGACCATACTCCTCTGGCTAAAAAGCAAATTTCTGAAATCATGGACTCTGAATTTGCCTGCCCACTCCTCCTATCACACAGCTGGACGGTGTACCAGTAAATCACCAGCACCAAGTTCACCAGAGACTTCATGTCTATTAAAAATCACCTGTGTATTGAGTGTAGGTTGAAAGTCATTTCAAATGGTGATACTGACTTGATGAAACAAAAAGCCCCATATTTCAAAACATTATTTTATTAATTGAAAAATAAATTGTTTTTTTTTTAAGGAAATATTTTCATCCCTGTATAAACAAAACTGGGGCTCAAAAAGGCTGTGCAGGTAACACTTGTATTTTTAAGTCAATGTGATATGTTAAAGGTGATGATAACAGTAGATGAGGGCATGCATTTGTGAATAGCAAAGAATCAAAGACCCTAAAGTCACTGAAGCCGGTTTGGCTCAGTGGTAGAGCATTGGTCTGTGGACTGAAAGGTCCCAGGTTCGATTCTGGTCAAGGGCATGTACATTGGTTGCGGGCACATCCCCAGTGTGCAGGAGACAGCTGATTGATGTTTCTAATTCTCTATCCCTCTCCCTTCCTCTCTGTGAAAAAATCAATAAAATACATTTTAAAAATAAAAAAATTATCCTGGTATGGTTTATATTTTTGTAATTTATGTCATTAACTTCAGACTTTCAATTCACTTATACCATGATTCTGGCTATACTATGTCCTCCCAAGTTTTTATCTGAGAATCTAAGTTTCTCAAACATTTGTATTACTGTGACCTTCCTCAAGAAACATTCCACTCTCTTGGAGGTCAGAACACAAACTTTTCAGCATTTAGTTCAGGTAAATAAAAATGAGTATGTCTTCATTTTTAAATGTCTACCGTGGTTTTATTATAATTTCAAATGCAATTTTAAAAATAATAATTTTTCCACAGAATTTTCATTTTACACTGGTTTATGAGTTATTGACTATATTCCAACTAAAGCCCCACTTCAGAACATCAATTCCGAGAAATTTTCAATCCATGCTTCCCTCTTGTGCACATACAAAAGTATAATACTATCTCTATTAGGTTGGGTTTATTTCTACAAAGAAAAGTAGAAAAAGTGTAGCAAAACTCATGCATACATAATCTCTATTCAGTAATTATTAACATTTAGTTATATTTTATAATCTCTCTCTCTCTCTCTCTCTCTCTCTCTCTCTCTCTCTCTCTCTCTCTCTCTGCCAAAATAGTCTAAAAAATACAGATCATTTCTCTCCCAAACACTTCCCTGGAAATGACATTTTCCTACATCATCACAATGCCATTATCACTCCTACAAAAGGAACAATAATTTCTTAATACGCAGGCCAAACTCTAACGTCTCCACTTGTAATCCAATTTTCTTGATAATATTCGTAAGTCTATTCTGCCATCAATGACAGTACACATGTATTCTTAGACAAAAGCTACCTCTAAAGTGGCTAATTCCAACCAGTTCTGGTAAGGAAGCAATGCCTTCCCTGAACTGCTCTAAACTCATTATCTGATGGATCATCAGGCATCTTCTAATCTTGCCCTTATGCCTATTGGAGATGTCATGTTAAATCAAACACTGATGAGAACTAGACAAAAGATCCAGAGGGAAAAAACAGATATTTTCCCTCGGTAATCAGTGTGCATTGGAGAGCAAAGAAAGTGAGACGAGGGACCACAAAACCCTAACTATAGTCACAGTTTTAAATGAGATTGTTTTGCCTAATCATCCAGTTAAGCATGTATAGCTCAATCTACACAAGATACAAAAGTTGTAATTTTCTATGGCACAAATTCATTGAAACTCAGAAGAAAATTCATATTCACATTTCCTTCAATAATTTAGTTAACTTAGTAAAAGTGAAACTATAATAATCCATGGAATAACTGAATTATTTAGATTTTCTACCTGTAAAAAATGAAGAAGTAGAGCAATCAGACAAAAAGAAGAAATAAAAGGCATCCAAAGTGGAAAGGAAGAAACAAAACTGTCATTATTTGCATATGATGCGATACTGTCAACTCTGAAGGTTCCACCAAAAATGGCTAGAACTGATAAATGAATTCAGTAAACTAGCAATATAAAAAGATCAATATCCAGAAATCAGTTGTATTTTTATACACAAAAAATGAGCTCTCAGAAAAAGAAAATAAGAAAACAATTCCATAAAAAAAATAACACACCTAGAAGTAAATTTAACTATAAATGTAAAAGACGTGTATTAAGAAAATTATAAGAGACTGAAGAAAGAAAATGAAGAATATATAAATAAGTGGAAACATGTACTGTGTTTATGGATAGGGAGAATTAACATCATTGTAATGTCCATACTACCCAAAGCAATTTGTAGGGTTAATGCAATTCCTATCATGATACCAATGGCATATTTCACAGAACTATAATAAACCATATATGGAACCAT